TTGCCTAGTGATACACCCGTTCTGAGACTCCCGCCAGGAACTAAGGTGGTTATTCAAGAAGAGACCACAGGTGGTAGCGCCAACTTGTACCAGGGCACTGTTAAGGATGTTGGCAAAGATGCAGATTCTATCGAACAGAAGGCTCCCATGTGGCTGGGTGATGTTCTTCTCCAAAACATCTTGCCCTTCAAGGAGCCTGTAAAGGTTTCGTTTGTCTTGTATCCAATGGATGACACTCTCCCAGCTATTGCTTCGGCCGATGGAAACAATAGGCTCAATGCTAACCGCATGCTTCGAGTCAAGAAGATCCTTTCATATGTTGCGGAAAGGATTGAGCCTCCACTTGAGGAGCCAGAAGAAAGCCCTATGAAGCCAGAGGAGTATTTAGAACTGTACTGCAACGAACAGGTAATGATCTCTTCTTCAACTCATGGTATAATCACGGGCAATTACACTTGCTAACATTTATCCAGTTACTTTCCCCTGCTACGACACTGGCCACTCTCCGAACTCATCTGTGGAAAGGGGGCAATGATATTGTCCTTCATTACAAGGCCAATGGCCAAAAGGAGATTCGTCCATTCCCTCCGCCTCCGGAGCCTGAGCCCGAAGAAACTCAAGACGGCGCTGCAGCTGCAGAGGCAAATACTAATGGCCAAGTTCCTCTTCAACCTCAAGCCCAAGTCCAGGCCAGCTAAGTTAAGACAACTCCCGGTTTACACGTTGAATGAGAAGATGAGATTCCGAGACTCATCAGCCCGTTGTTTGATGTCGTGTGCCAGAATGGTGGACTTTTGTCACCAGCGATTTCATTTATCGTATATAGATTTTGTACATAGGTCAGATGCCGTCAAGGCGTATATACCATTTGTGAGGAGTTAAGCCTCTCTCTATTTCTTTCGGAACACCCGTCTCTTGACTCCCTGCTCCTTGCTCCATATCATATTTTACATCGTACAATCCCGCCCGTTTTGTTGGTCTCTCATATCGCTTCCCATTATCATACAACGCCGTTCATGGTGTTAATAGCCCATTGATAGCTTCCCAGGAAAATTGCGCCTCCAATAGAAATCCATGTAACTCGTGGTGCTACCCCAGCAAAGAAAGCTCTGCTGCCCTCCTCGCGCAATATCTGACCAAATATTTCCGATACTGAAACACTCTCCTTCGATAGCATGACTCTCGTTTTGAGTACATCAAGCGGCGTTGTCAGTGCCGCAGATAATCCACCAGCCATGCTTCCATAGAGTGCACTCTCGGCACCAGTGACCTCACGACCACCACGGCGGCGTCGTCCCCAGGACTTCATTGCCTCCCATAGCGGGAATTGAATCACAGTGAATGGAACCTCTCGAAAGACGGTGATTCCCCAGCCGCGATAGAGCTCTCTCCACATTGGAACAAATCCATGGCTCGAATATCGTGACAGGATGGCCCGCAGAGCAGCAGCCGACGAACCACCATGATGGCCCGCCTGCGCACGCTGCTTAACAACCTCGGTCGGCACACGAACGGCGCAAGCTGCCACCTCACCGGCGCTAGCAGCCGCCATATGTGTAAGGGGAGCCTTCCATCCTGGCGCAGAAGTATTATCCTTATCAGCCAGGAAGCCCTTTACGCCCTCGTATGTACAGAAGAAGAACGCGGCACCTGGCGCAGAACCGACAAGCGCAGAACCTATACCGCGATAAATGCCGCTGAAGCCTCCGGAGGGAAAGAAACCGGCCGAGGACTGAAGACGGGTCTTGAGTGTGTCGAGAGGGAAGAGAGAGAGATCGACGGTTGTGCCAGCGAGGGCACCTGCGAGGAGGGCGGATTGGAAGGTCGGAGGATTTGCGGACATGATTTTGGAGGTCGGCGAGAGTCCTTGGTGTATAGATTGGTAGAGAAAGCGCCCTAGAGAGAAACAATGGGCTGGACGAGGCCCGAGGAGGAAAAGAGAGATATTAGAAGCCTCGGAGGTTTGGACCGACCGAGACCGGCGAAATAATAAAATGGAGGAGCTTGAACTTTGGGCGTTATCGATAAGAGGGGCTTGGAGGGGCTTGGAGTTTACCCTGTAACGCAGCACTTGATAATTTAAAACACTTCGCAGAAGAGAACTTCCTTCCAGGAGGAAGTAAATACACGAGGACTGGTCAATTGGCAGAAGCTTGTGGAATTTGAGGTATTTATGTATCAATTTGAGTGCTATTTTATCGTGGAGGTGAACACGACAGCTTTGTTCTCAAGTTGAGTGGTACAACGTCGCTACGAGACATGCAAGCTTCGGTTGCCGACAGGAATACACAATGTCCGACTTGGGAAAACACCTTCACATGCAAAAGTACCGAGATTCTAAGCTATACCATTGGCTCCTTAGCAGAGGCTGATTGGATCATGTTTGTAAAGGAGGAGGTTGGGACAAATACACATAAACTGAACTGATATGAATTGAACTCAAAGGCATCATCATGGGTAGCTTTCATTAATAACTATTTTGCAGAGACATTCCAGTCTATCTGACAATACCGTAACTCCCAAACCAGCTGATCGAGTCGCCAATTTATAACAGTTCTTTACATGTTATCTCGTGTGCTGGTACCAGCCTTGTGAGTCTCCTCAGCGGCCTTCTTGGTTCGCTCTTGGAGGTTCTTGATGTCCTTGGCAGGATCGATGTTCGATCTGTCTGCCTTGACGGCCTCCTCGCTGTCCGAGGCGAGCTCTGGCTTCCAGTGGCCGTTGCCCTCCTTCTGCTTCCTGAGGGAGTCTTGCTTGTGCTTGTCGTAGTCGACGTCGGTTTCTAGGGCGTGTTAGACGCGTTCAATTGGACTTTGGGAGACTCAAACTTACGGGTGGATGACTCCTTGAGACCGAGACGTGTCGATGTGGTAAAGAAACCTCGTCCGAGGATGATCTTGCTAGTGTGCGCAGCGCGCAGGGCCATCATGGAGCGAGCTGACATCATCTTGTTGATATGAAGTTTATGTGATGATTCGGGCGGGAGACGTCGAGAGACAGCTATGAAGGATTCGATATAGAGATGAAAGAGGAAGAGAAAAGGGAGAAACAGCTGCAGGGGAAGAGATTTAGGTGGTTCACGAGCGTGCCTTAATATGTACTGCTCTTCTCGGGTAAGGTAATGACCGTAATGTTGACCATTTGCGGGAAAGTGACGTCACAAGCATCATCACTTTTTGAAGAACCTCTCCCTCTGCTTCCTTTACTCCTTGAAATGAAGACGGCATGCGTTCATTCCCCACTCAAGGCCTACCTATACTACCCCGAGTTAGGTAATGGAGCTGGTTTTAAATTTCCCTTCCTTTACCGAGGATCCAACGCAAATGCCATGGTTTTCAAGGAGGGTCCAATTGCGTGGCTGTGGTTGATAATGAGACACTGCACGAACTACCTAGGTACTGGGTACGTAGTAGCTATCACCGCGGACTTATTATGATGTGGGGTTACTGAGGCTACAGCCCCAGCTACAGCTACAGCTACAGCTATGAGCTGAACGTGACATCTGGAAAGCATTGCAAACAGAATTTATGGGAGAACATAAAATCAGAAATGCATGTCGAGCAATCAATGTTCACTGACTAACCTTAGTGGCCACCCCGATTCAACAAATCGCTCATGTCGTAACTACACCATCATTTCTCGTCAGCATCACCACACAATTTAACTCATCGTCACACCCGAGATCGCTCACTCTAAGCCGTATCTTATCACAGTCACAGATTGAAACGTGCAAGTATGAACATTCGTATATTCTCGTCTCGCAGCGCTGAAGCCGCATTGTCGCAACCAGACAGCGCCAATACCCAGTTAACAATAGCCACACATGCAGTCTACCGCTGCATTGCAAAACCAGGCTCGAGGGCCTCCCAAATCCCAAAAAATTCTCTTTGAATCTGATCATGACATGTATTCCAGGCCCCCTGAACACTCCAGATGCTTGCCGAGGCGAGACAAAATATTGTAAAAGAAGCCCGTCCAACCAGGACTTAGGCAAACCGAACAACGCTCCAAAGTATAAAGCTACTCCGGTCCCAAAAACACTAGGCAGACCCAGCCCCGGCCATTGCGCTCAGGCCTAAACCACGAACAAGAAAACAAAAAGAGGACAAATATATAGGCCGTCCCAAGGTGATACAAAGAAAAGAATGGGCAAGGGTGAACCTTTTCGTTCCCGTTCATTGCAGCAGCGGGACTACACCAAAAATTCGACCAACTCCCCGTAATTTCCCATATTTCCGTCCCGTAAAGGGATATCAGTTGTCGCAAAAACACCATTCGTCTCGATCCTGACCACCGCCCAAAGATATTCCAAGATGCGACCGATCAAATAACACCGGAAAAGACCCCGCTTGCGAAAAGCACTCCCTTCTATGTTGTTCTTTTTCTCTTGTTGACTTCATAACCCATGACCGCGATGAGAGAAGACATTTTGGTATGAATGGAAAGGCCAGCCCATGCCTCCCATGTAAAATGAAAACAGTTGATGCCGAGGAAATCCGATTATTGTGCCGCCCAACACCTATGCAATGTCGTCTTAAAATGCAGAAAACGCCCGTTCGTGTCTTGTAGCCCCATCTTGCGAGGCGGACACCCAACCCTAGGTATTTGATTTGTTGCAAAAATAACAAAAGTGACCAAGCCGAAAATGGTATCGTTCTTTATCACGCCGTGCCAGTATTATCCTCATAAACTTGTCGGTGAAACAAGAGATATGTCGATTAGGGGATGTTTATACAGGGGGATAGTAAAAGTGATGGTTGTCGGAATTGTTGTCGCCAACAGTGTGGTCAATCGCATCAAGCGATTGGCCTCAAAAGCTTAAGAGGAAACCAGCCCAGTTGATAAGAGGATACCAAGATCGAGTCTTGATAGGTCAATGTGCCCGCCAAGATGAACAGCTGCCAAGAACGAACGGTAGCAATTACAGTTCAAGGTGCATCGTCGGTGATACGACACACTGGTCGACCCATGTCAATGCATGAGTAGCGACCTGCTGCGGCTTACCAGCGACGCATCGACTGTTGCATCCTGCCAGGCGACACTGACTGAGGAGGGCTCGACATGGTAATGCCAGTAGCGGGGTTGATGATGGGAATGGCATTGCGGCCGCGGGTGGCGGAAGGCTGATGAAGCTTCATGCTGGGCTGTTGCTGGTAGGCAGGAGGAATGAAGGCAGGAGATGTTGAGTTCAGAGAGAAGCCAGGAGCAACGGTGTTGGGGTGTTGCGTGGGAGAAGAGTCGGGAGAGTTGCTGGCTAATGAGGAACGCTCAGATGCGCTTGAGATAGAGACCAACTGCGAACAACAGGTCAGATTGATGCGCTGACATACACAGCGACGGGATAACTCACGTCAGTCTCGGTCAACAAACCAGGACAGAACTCCATGTCATCTTCAAGGTCGAAGGATCGACTGGTCTCGAACTTAGTTCGGAAGGCTGTGAGGGAAGCAGTCTCGTTGAGTTCCTTCATGCTGCGGACACCGCGGAACTGGCGTTGAGCTTGTTGGGACACAGAAAGACGGGGAGCTCTGCGATTTCGGCCACCATGGTGGTTGTGCGACACGGGGGCGGGGTGCGCTGCTGGGTGGGCGTTGTAATGGTAGTATGCAGACATGATGTGAGTCGCGGTTGTGCGTGCGTGCCGGAGTTGGTGCGGGATTAATTGGAGCGAGTAAACACAAACAAGAAATTGAGAGTGTTTAGGAGAGTCGTCGATTTAGGTAGTCGTGGTAGACAAGATCCAAAAAGTCGAAGAATAGTTACTAAAGAAGTGTAATCGCGGTTCAGTTGTAGAGGAGAGTAGAGTGAGGTTGTTGGTTGATGTAGATTTTTGGGTGACGGATGAAGAGAGTTGAATTGTGGGAGAATGGATAGCGAAGCGAGGCGAAGTACGAGGGGAGGGGCGGAATGGCAGTGGGAAGGTGACGGGCTCTGATAAGTAAAATAAATGGAAAGTGGAAAGTGGACAGGCAGATGCAGGACGCAGGATACCTTACACCGGGGACGGCGGGCGAAGTGAGTCTGTTGGTTGGGGACACTGTGAGCACTGTGAGCTCTTTGGTATCCACAGTGTCCACACTTTACTCCACATAAAGCGCCTGCCGAACCAGGAGATGAGGGTAGGACCCGATTCTGGCAAATCATGCCTTACAGACGGTGGCTAGGAAGTCTTTGCCACTTCGTTATGATTGGCATAGCGAAGGGATAGCGTGTGCCACAGTGTGATCTAGGTGGCATGCTGCTAGGCCATCCCTGTCTATCCCGGTAGGGATGTTTGGGAAGAGTACAGTTTTCGGAAGAGAGACATACACAGTACGACCAGCGTGTTCCAAGAGCTGGACAGCACACCAATCTGCTAAGGGGCTGAGTTCACGCTACTTGTCCTATTCTAGGTTCACCTGCACGCCTGGCGGTATCCGAAACTCAGCGCCTACCCAGCCTGGGTGGAGGCTATTGCATCCACACACAACCCAAGCCCAGTGTCAAATCGCTGTCGGCCCTCTCGGGGTTCCCCATTCCAGCCTTTGTCAAGTGACTTTTTGCTCTCTCAGCTTTGTCCCTGTTGGACCTGGCGCCGGTTCCAAACTTGGATCGTGAGAGAGCCCTGGAGCCCTGCTAGTCTAGCGTCTGTTCGTTCATCTTTTCTTTCTGTCAAGCTCAGTCTTGGGGACCAGGGATGCGCATTGCTCATCAGGTGAGTGACGAAGTGACTGAATCTCTCTACCCACTGCACACACATTACTTTACCGCACAGTGAGGAGCCTGGAGGGACGTGGGCGCAGATGCAAACGCAGTCTCAGTCTCAGTCTCAGGCACCATCTTGACCGCGTGCTCTCCCACTCTGCCACTGCAATTCCCCTGTGCTAGCGCAGGAAAGCCCCTTTCTGTCCGTCCCCTTCAGGGCTCTCGCAGCCGTAATTAGGCGCTATGCCCTGCTGCAGCATGCTAATCTTGTCGAGTGATTGGAATGCGCGCCAGTTTGTTTGTTGACATGCTGAAATTGTTATTATCCACTGCTTTCGTGATGATGAAATGAGGAAAGGCAAGGGAATTGCGTTTCTCGTCTACGACGTTGGATGCCCCACAGCCTTTCATTACCACGGCGCACATATCTGATCTGGTGTATTGGGGCGGTCGAGGCATTGTATCATCAGATACTGGATTTCTGTTTGTCTACTCCGTAACGGGTATCCACGTCCCCCAGGACCAGGTGAAGTGAGGTGAGGTGCAGTCAAGTTCAAGTGCGTGCAGTGCCGAAGAGGCCCCAGTCACTCAACCATGACCATCGCGGGACGGAAAGGAAGAGCAGGGTAGGGCTTCGAGGCTGGTGGGCGAACGACTGAGCGAACGTTCGGGGGACGGCGATGGACTCTGATGGGTTAACCAGGTTAGCTCAGGTGGATTGGCGGGATGGCGGTGATGGACGGTACCTTGCGAGGCAGTGAGCACTAGGCTCGAAATTCTATCATAACACTGTGCATGACCGCGTATGGAGCCATTACTGACCACCAGCGCAGAATGAGGGAGGGTTGGTGAGGCCTATGACTGGGCGGCCTCGAGACCCTTCCATGACCCTGTCCTCAATGGTTCTGGACATGGATACGTTGGAAACGTGGCGGGCTGGCCAGTATCTTGACTGAACAAAAAGCTTTTTGCACTGTGCTATTCTGTCATGGCCCCTCCCAACTGCAGATCGCACGTATCCCTTTCTCGTCTGTTGTTTTGTTGTTGTGTGTTATGTCCTAGCCTAGCCTGGACAGCCGCCGAATGAGAAGCTGTTGATAATCGACACTGTTTCCCCAATGGTCTAACCATCATCAAAACAGTCTCAAGGGTGATCCGGTACTAAATATCGCCACGAGAGGCAAAATGAATGAGAACAAGGTCACCACCATTGTCTCTGGCTTCTAGAAGGCCTCTGACGTGGGTGACGTTGATCTGGATTATTCTCGACTTTAGGGTAGCGTCTTGAGACACAACAGAGCCCAGACCCAGATCATCTTCAACACCAACCTCGCGTGAAATGAGAGGTTGACAAGTCCAGTTGTGGTAACCTTCCAAACACTGTGGCGTTTGTGCTTGACCTTGAAGGGTAAACTCACCCACACACAACACAACACAGCACAGCACAACCCCAGCCCCAAACCCCAACCCACGACTTTGGCTGCAGCTCCTACAAGTACGTGTTAAGTATAGCGAGTGCACTGTATGTACAGTCAACTCGACGTGTCCGAATACTGTACTTGGCGAGACGATCCACGCAACCCTCACGCAGGAACTCTTTGTCGGCCACTGCGGTTGCAGCACCTTTGCGGGCGTCTAAATCGAGACGTCGACAACAAAGGCCGTTGATGACTGTGGGTATCTTGTTAACGGCGAGTTTGTGCTATCGGTTGACACAGCACGATGGTTGACAAGATCGTCGTGAAGCGTGAGCATTGACGATAAGGAAGACTGGGCATAGCAAGTGACGACGGCGGCAAGACATACAACCCAGTAAGGTTGGTTAATTCGGTATTTGGTTATGCATATTGCCTATCGTTTCATCATTTCTAGAGGTCGTCTTGCCGCCAGCCTCATCTTATCTTACCAGACGGGTCCTCATCCTGTTCCGTATATGCAGAGGGATACTCGACCCTACAGTACGGAGCATGCACCACACCCATTTCATTGCCGATGGAAGGTTGCTAGATGGAAGATTGATTATCTTTGGTCCTTGATAAGTGATAACTGCCACTGCCACTGGCTCTTGCGCAATCCAACCTCTCGATCTCGGTTAGATCGTCGTTGGACTTTGATCAAAGCTGGCACCCTGCCGTTACCACCATGCCAAATAGCCAGCCATACCATGCTACCATACCATGCCCTTCCGCACCGTCCAAGTGTTTCATCAGGCTCTTCTGGCCCCTGGGGATCCCTCCAGGGCTCTCTTCTCTTGTGTCATTTGCCAGGCCACCATGCGGGGAATGGGCTGGTCTATTTTGAGCGGGCTGTGAAGGCCTGCTAGCGGAGGTCTAAACCTGCTCTTGTTCGTCTTCCTCATTTTCGGTTGGAAGGGATGTGATGTGATGTGAGGATGCTTGGTCTCTAGGCTTCGCCTACGCCGATCACTTCAACGGACGTGGGTGGGTGGTCCCTTCTTTGAATTCCTGTTCCTGGAGAAAGGGTCCAAAGTCCCATCCCGAAAAGAATTCGAGGCACTGACCGAATGCGTGATGCTGTGCAGCTTCGGGTTCCTAGCGCAAAGTCTACGGTAATTCTAGACGAGTCACAACAAACAGAGCAGCGAACAACCGTAAAGTTAAAATTGACAGTCCAAACTCACTGTGAGCGGGGAGATTGGCTGAACCATAGCACACCCTGAAGGGTCTGAGAGACAGAAGACGATGTCGCATCTGTGCCCTGGCAGAATCCCTGTACAGTATGAATCCATACCCATATTATCGGCATTCATCAAGAGTCACCTTTCACTGAATCAAGTGAATCAATGGATTCAGCGAGAATGATAGACATTTCGACGTAAAGGGAAAAGTCAACAACTGCTGCATTTTTCAAGAGCATTGTTAGAAGCCGCTTGTCTCTCCCTAACTAAGTACCTAGGATAGTACCTTACCTAGCTCTCCTCATCGTCTGCCCACATTGACGCAATCAGCCATCTGTCTATCCCTAGTCGCACGACCCATTCCTCGGGCTAACAATCTCAACAATCGATAATAGCCCGCATGCATCTACTAATCATTCAATTAATTGATGGCCAACATGTCTATCACGGGTTGTCAGCCCCTTCAATATCATGAGACAAGGCGATTATCTGATGCGTACGGCGTGCCATATGTTATCCTACAGCCCATATTCCCATCGCCACACCGCTAGTTCTCACAGACGATGAATGGCCTGTTTCTACTCCGTACATCGTCGGCTAAGGCGCTTTTCTTGGGCGGGTGACTTGTTGTCTCACTTTGCGGAGAACAAAGGAACTCTCCCCTCTGAGAGTCCGAGCTCTCGGCCCAGAGCGCGCCACCTCTTGCTTCAAATGCGAGTCACCCCGCGCGCCACACTTTGCGGAGAAACGGCGACGTCAGTCCCGTACGAAAAGCCTCAGCTCTGATTCGTCTCTTGCTTCAACCACAAAAATTGACTTCCTCAACATCGCGATATAAAAACCATGGTAATCTTAAAACAGAACCGACATGCTTTTTATTGCAATAATTAGATCAATGATGTGCTCTTGGCCATAAACTTAAGTCTAAACTGGTGTAATTGGTAACACCGTCAGGGGTCACTCGCTTCCTTCCAGCGGGCCCTTCGGGGGATTGGGCGTGCGTTCGCGAAATACTCTCCAACATACCTAAGCAATGTACTATATTATATAGCGTACTAAATACATAAGAAGTTGCTAGTAGCTGAAATCACAACTGCAGCACGCAGAATCATGATTGCAAAATCTAGATGTCGGGTCTGGCAGGGAATATAAAATACTCCCAGGAGTGACCATCGAGACCCCCGGTGTTAGAGGATATGGATAATCGCTGTAAACCAAGTCACTTAAACAAAAGGCAGGACCTTGAAGGGGTTCTACAATTTCCTCCAGGTATGGTCGTATGTGTTTGGGCTCTTCACTCGTACGGTATATGACCATAATATGTTATCTGATAATCAAGATTGATGCCTGGTGAGTGACTGAACCGCAATAGAGCTCTAGGTGCCTTCATTGTACACATCATGAAAAAACCACTGACCAAGGTTTCGACAATTCTGATTCAATTTTATCAAACATATTAGGTTCAAGATCACCAGATATAGAACTTAAAAGAAGACACTGGCTTTGTTGAGACACTGTGCAATTGACTTGGTGGAGTGAGAGTATATCCTGAGCCATGATGAGCCTCGACCTAGAGCCTAAAGTCAACGCACCCGTGGGCCCTCAACATTTCTATCAGGTAAGACTTTTGTTTTCATCATTAAAAGTCCACAATGTATCAGCGGATCTAGCAATGTCTCGTGACCTCAGAGGCTGAAGTGAATTACTGGAGAGATTATCATGGAAGATCGAGGACATGTATGTTTCGGACTCTTCAGCCACCATGTAGCGTAGCTCGAAAAGGCCGTGATATGTGCTGCAATTCTTTTATGGCTAAGTTGTTCAGAGACTGCTTTTATATACCTCTTGTGTTGGTTGCGAGTGCCCATTCTATCTTCTTTCTGGCTTAGGGACATGTCCGTAATAGAGGGCTGGCTGGTAGTGGAGTCTTCCGACACACTTCGCGATCAATACTATAGAAAAGGTGCTTAGTGAATATTGAGAAGGCTATATGAAGGTTAAGTCGCCAGCAATGCCCATCACCTAGAAGCTGGATTCGATACATAGGCCGCACTGTTCGCGTTCAGAAATATGCTGACAGCAGTTCCGGCAGCAACCCTTGGTAAAAGAAGAATATTAAGTCAACTCTAAAGTCTGAATGAGATATTAGTATGAGTATGTATTTACCCGCTAGCCAGGCCAATGAAACTTACATATATGTCCACGATTCACGAGGAAGTTTCCCAAAGACGAGGTGATACCTTTTGTTTTTATGAAGCCAAAGTGTGTTGATAAGCATCAAAATATAGGTCTATGAGTTGAGGGTTTTCCTTTGTACGAACAGCCAGTTAAATTATTCTATACGTGGAAACCATTACACACTCTGCGTATCGCCCAAGAGGATATGGAGATGACCACGTTTCCTTTGATGTCGTGTCTCAGAAGGTCCAACGATTATAAGAATTCCAGTATGTCCTTTGCAACCTGCCAGTAACCACTGCGAAGTTTATGGAGTCATGCGCCCAAGCATCTACGGATAGCTCCCACAATAAGGCTTAGAATGCCTATTGACGAAATCAACTTCTATTATCAAAAGGCTGCAACAAGACATGAGGATACAAATGCCACTATTGAAGACGACCGAGAATATTAAGAACCGAATGCACCCGAAGTACTCCTTATGATACAACCTCATATCCCAGGTCCCAACTGAGCATCGATTTTCCCTAGGCGATATCAGAAAAATGAGAGGGCTTTTAGTTGAGTATGGAATCTTGACAGTAAACAAAAACACTTAATACTCAACGAAGACTTGAACTTGAGTCTTTTATGTGAAGCCCCTCTCATCTCACTTGTCTGTGTAACATGGTAATGTGTTGCAAATCTCCCTCGGATTGTCGTAATTTCAGCTCTCATCAGAAATAGAGAATGTAGTGTGTTGCCATGGCTGCGCTTGAGAAGCCTTGGTTCTCATAGTCTGGAGTAATAAAAAGATAATACACGTTTACGGTTGCCTCCGGACGACGAGATAGTCTTATGTATGTAACCAAGCACTACTTAGAAAGCCCCAGGTGGGCAGAGTATAAGTATCTGAAAAAAAAAGCAATAGAATTAAAGATCAGCAGACGTGTAGGATTCTAGTAGGTGGACTATATTCAATTGTGTGTCGTGTTTGATTCGTTTCAAAAGTTCCTCATTAGTGGCTATCGCTATGAGTCAGATTTGAGAACATGATCCGTCATCATGTACGGTTTGGAATCATTTCTCTTAGCCCCACGCACTTTGTTTCCGCAAGTTCAAGTCGAGCTGCCTCAGATCGTTGGGATCAAAGTTTCAAAGAAGCAAGACTTACAGGTATCCTTCCGGGTGTGGCTCAAGATCATCACTTTCGCCTACATATTTTCGCCTACGTGCGGAAACTTGAGTATGACTTTGGAATTTTATAGAGAATGACAGATTCGACCAGCTGTTGTCAATTTAACAATATGTGTATCGTGTAGGAATAAGTCTCTTTCTGATCGATTCGTTCCATATGGCAACGGAGATATAATGTATATTGAATGTGATTCTGTTGGCAGGTCTGGGATAGTGAGACAGAAACTCATCAATTGCCCATGCATGATGTTGGATCATATGTCCATGTTGACTTGAACTCAGCAATAACTCAAACAATTAAAATAACTACCATCATAGCTCCGATGACAGATACCGAATGGGACATAATCTATATGAGTCTCGCTCCGAGGCTCGGGCCTAAGACGCGGGAGCAGGGCGGGTTTAAATTGTCCGGACTTCCCGCCTCCACCACGAGTCGGACTTTTCTCTTGCCCACTGTATCAAACCTACCGACTTACACAATCTGATCAACATCACATTAAAATGGAGGTGATAAATTTTGGACAGAGCCCTTCACTGGGATATATTCTGTTCATTGCTACTTTGGCTCTATTGCCTATTCTTCTGCTCTTCGTTCTCATCCGCAGACCTGTTGGCGAATCTGTATCCCAATCATTGCCTTTGCCAGCCGATGATGAAATTGTTCGCCTGCGAGTATACCCGGTCAAGTCATGCCGCGGTTTTGATGTCAGTTCAGCGCAGCTTCTACGAACCGGTCTAGATCTGGACCGTAACTGGATGTTTGTCACGGCTGATGAGCATGAATTTATCACGATCAGAGCAAATTCAAATATGACTCTTATCATAACAGCTTGGGACGACGATACCGACACACTCATAATTTCTCTCAATGAACACAAGATTGAGATACCCGCTCACCCTACGAGTCAATGGCTTGAGAATAACACTGAGCTCAAGAAGGCGACTATCTGGGGCGAGCAAACCGATGCATGGGAATACGCCGAGAGCCTGACCAAGCCTATCTCGGAATTCCTCAACATGGACGTTCGCCTGATGTACAAGGGACCTACACCGCGAGTTCTACGTGGAAGCGGAGCTCCTCACCGTCTTGGTCGTACGGAAGCTACCAAGTTTGCCGATATGATGCCTGTGCTGGTAAGTTACATAAACTGGAACCTGACATACGACTCAGGCGCCGTACTAATGCCAAACTTGACAGGTTGCCTCTATGGCGAGTATGAATGAGCTTAACGAGCGTCTCACTAAAGCTGGCGAGGATAAGATTGAGATTGATCGGTTCCGCCCCAATGTCATCATCCGAGGAAGCGTACCCTGGGTTGAGGATGGATGGAAAACTCTCCAACTTGGTGAGGGCGAGCACCGTCTCGACCTTGATGTTGTGTGCCGATGCCTACGATGCCAGGTACCCAATGTTCACCCGATTACTGCTGATAAACATCCGCGTCAACCTTGGAACCAGCTGATGAAGTATCGACGAATCGACCCTGGACTGAAGTTCAAGCCGAGCTTTGGCATGCTTTGTGCGCCGAGCGATGAGGGACACATCGAGCTTGGCATGAAATTCCAGGTCACAGCTATGACGAATGATCACTTCTTCATTAGTCCAATGAAGTAAAACGAAATATTGGAAAGTGTTTGGGGGAGCTGTGTGGCTTCTGCGGTAGGGTAACATATACAAACCGCCAAGGGAAACGAAAATGAAAACGATAACAAGACCATGTTTAGGTAATGGTTCACATGTATCGTACGCTGTTCAATTTTGGACACCTGGGTACCTGGGCGTACTAGCTGACTGTACTGTGTTCTCCTCTTTTAAGTGGCAGTGCTGGATCAGCCCAGCCAGGATAGGACCAAGAGCTTTCGTAAAAAGTCAGATAGAATTCAAGGGTTGAGTCTGCTCTCACAAGTAGTTCGAGCGTGCCTGGATCAAGTATACAATTTTTTAAAACAGGCCGATTCGAGAATCTGAGAGGAATTCCTGAAGGGAAGAAGAGCGCGGGACTTGATTTCAGCCATACCCTTCACCTTCACCCTTCCTTTTCATATCTCAATTTGTCTTTCTCCCTAAACTGATAAGCCTAGGCTCTTAATTGGGGACTAATGGTATTTGATAGAGGCCTCCCGATAAGATCACGATGTCATAAATTTGAGGATGGTTTCATTCCAAGGATGTTTGCTCACAAATCAAGTGTTTGGTTGTTGAACAATCACATCCTTCATCCACTTGGCATATTAGCCGGAACACACCATCAACCATACACAGCCTTGCGAAGACACTAGTGCTATGCCTTGCTGGCAACGGGTCAAGTAGCTGATAGATGAGATTTGTCGCTGTACGAAGAATTTCAAACATGATTGCGTTGTTGTACCCGTCTCTTGGATCCGGTCAAGCCTGGCCAGGCTTCCAAGGGACACTCGGGTTCTAGTGTGATAGCAAGCCAAGTTAAGAAGATTCTCATCGTGAATCAAGGCATAGAGACTCTTGAGATATGGTAGATGCTGTATCACGATTTGTTTAAAGGATAGAATGTATTCACATAGACTTGGACCCGGTCACGAGACGCTTTGCTCACAACAGCATCCGTGTTGACTTCTTTAATGCAGTTGAACGGCTTCTCATGTAGATAGAGCAAGCAAAGCCTCAGAAGATATAGAGACAAACATCATATCTAGTTGGTCTTTTGCCCTTGCCACATGATGCCAGAATGTGGACAATGCTGGGTGGAGTGATGTGTCCCCCATGCTCATGCTCTCATGCTCATGGGGAACGCAAACACCCTTATTGAGCTACAAGAATGATCCTTCCAGATCGGTTGACGCTATGATTCAAGCGCATATTTGCAAAGTCATATTACCCAAAGTGTCGGGAATCACGGCTCGGGCAGTTCTAATTCCGTGTTAGTCGTTGTTGATACACGAACAAAGAGTGGAAAAACTGTGGCTTGGTCATGGAGGCAATGAAACATATCCAAGACAGTCTGTAACTTACTCACAGGCCTACCTCTAGTTCATTGTTCCACTACTCGACTAGGTACCTACCTAGTCACAAGGCTCTGGCATTTGTGATTTTGTGTAACTAACTGCCTGGGCAGGCTGATTCACTGACTGATTGGTGTGGCAATACCCATTGTGCTAGGCGCTTCGCGGGGCTTTTTAAGCGGCACGTTGGCCCAGCTTACCTTATGAGAGATCCAATGCACAGCCCACCAGCTTTTCAAAGCTTCCTCCCAATCAATCAATCAATCAGACACTACAACCTTCATTGCTTTTAAATCTCTCAACCTTCCCATCAAATCTCACCACTATCGCGCGTCGAAGCAGAAGTTTACCCGTCAGAAAATCTATTCACCATGTTGGGGGAAGATCTCGTCATTTATTATAATGACTCCATCGACTCAGATAACCTGGCCGCGGCYATGGCCTTGTTCAAGGCCACGCAATGGAAGCCCAACGTCCGCGTGATTTGGATTCTAGAGCCCCGTCAAGTTTGTTTTGGATTATCCATGACCGTGGATCAGATCACCAGATGCAAGGAATTGATAAAACAGCATTTTCCATCCGTTGAGAATCCTTTCAAGACCCTTTTGAACGGAGATATCAAGCAGCAGGATATTGATGATMTCAAAGATCTGACAGACGATGACCGCAAGATTGTAAGCTTCCTCCTCAGGATCAAATGATTTAGACAAATCTGACCACGATAACAGCTCGAGATGGCAGTGAAGCCCAAGTATGGCTCAATCGACGATGCTACCTTGCATGCACAACTAAGTGCACTGGACCTGGCAACTTGTCTTTCCGAGTGGTCTAATGCTAAACCCATCGAAGTTCTCGTGGACTACGAGACTCTGCAACACATCGAGACTTTGCAACACATCGAGAACCCAGTGAATCTGCACATGCATCACCATGAAGAACTTGTCAACCGGACTGAAGGTGAGCTGAAGGATTACTACGACATCCTGAAGAAAGTGCTACATCCTGGCCGCCGAACCGATAACCTGAGGGGTTGGTATTACAAGTGTATCGCGAATCTCRAGCGCCGTAGAAGKCTCTCAAACATTTCTACGGGAGGACTTGCCTTGGACAACGTTTTGAATCGGATCCAGAACGCGGGAAGCGTTCATTTCTTTGGGGGTTCTTCGTTGAGAATCYTACAACAGTTCCTCGATAGAGGTGTAGCCAGCAAGGTCAAGTGTCACTTGCAAGTGGTAAGACTGATCCATGATTCACATTACTCATTGACAATATGCTTATGGTGATAGGGTTCCTGCGACATGTCAGCCAATCTCTTCTCCAACCAGTTCAACATTGCCCTCAATCAACAAGCAGCCAAGACCGTTCTCGGCCGATCTGCAGAATTTGCGGAGTTCACCGTCGTGCCTTCACATACAGCACAGAGTATAAAATACTCAGCCCTAGGTCTGAAGAAATATGGAGGCCACTGTATCGAGAAGCGAATTCTGGGCTTCAACTGCCACGAGGATCCCATCAGGATCGTCACAAATCAAGTTTCACTTGAGCAAAACTATCCTGATAAAGCTTACTCCATGCCAGACTTGACCTCGTTTTTGTGTGCACTTGCTCCAGACCAACTGGGCCCCAAGCTAGAGTATATCGAGGTCGACGAACAGGAAGGCGGTACACTTCTTTTCAAAAAGTCTGACAAGGGCATCCGTATGCTTGGTCTGGACGACGTTCAGGAATTCAAAGAGAAAAAGATCGATGAGATTTTCAAGTCATTAATAGTTGGCGAAGTAATGCTGTGACAGAGACAACTTTTGATACCCAAAGGCGAGTTGGAAGTCAGATAGTACTTTTAATAGCTTCTTGATGCACAAGAGCATAATCTCAATTAGTAGAGAGAAATGATAGACTTCTTACAAGTCCAAGAGCATGATGCGTGAAGCTATCCAAGTCAGGCCGGCTACCATGGAATACCAGTATGACTGGACTAAGTTGTTTGGACTCCGACGATAGTGAAAGTACCAGTAAAAATAGGACATGCAGACACCATCTGGAAATGCCAAATTCACCTAGATCTCATACTCAAGACAAATTTACATCTAAGTTAGGTAGTAAATCAACAAGTTAAAAAGGAGGCGCTAGAAGTTCAAATTCTATTGGGTAGGTCGTTTATTGATATCGCCAATCATCAGCCACAAGACGGGACCCTTCCGTGTGGCGCCGTTGCCAGCCTTGCGAGCCCCCTCTCCAAGTTGACTATTTCAACGAAACCTCAACAGCTTCGGCTGTCAAATCTGCCTCCCAAAGTCTATTCTTCCTGCGGAATCGGTATCTAACGGTCTATCAGAAGATATGTCAGCCAATTACTGGCACTCGACACAATGTCGCTTCTGGAGCTTCACCAAGGAACAGCTTGTGACAATGCGACAGAAGCTTGAAGAGGACAATGCCGAATTGGTGCGAATGTTTCCGCTTCCGCAGCAACGCCATCTGTACATATATTTTAATCAACGTACGTGGTCACCTCTATACCCCGAGAGAACTGACAGAATGGCTGACTCATGGGACGCGCAGAATTGATACGGCTGGCGAAGCGATTAACGATCCGACAACAATCCATGGCCACGGCGCAGGTCTACATGAAGCGATTCTACTCCAAAGTCGAGATTCGTCGAACGAACCCGTACCTAGTCATAGCGACCGCGATATACTTAGCCTGCAAAATCGAAGAGTCTCCTCAACATATTCGACTCATCGTGACAGAGGCGCGACAGATGTGGGGAGATCTCGTGGCCATCGACACGTCCAAGCTGGGCGAGTGTGAGTTCTTCATGATAAGCGAGATGCGATCACAGTTGATTGTATTCCAACCGTATCGAACGATCACAGCCTTGCGAAATGAATTATCGTTGGTGGACGACGAAGTGCAACTGGCTCGCTCGGTCATCAACGATCACTTCATGACGGATCTTCCGCTCCTGTACCCTCCACATATCATCGCCATGGTTGCCATCCTACTGGCCTTGGTGTTGAGGCCCAATAACTCCGGTCCTGGCCAGAATACTTCTGGAGCGGCGGCGGCTGCAGGACTAGCAGCCGCTCAACAGGCGCTGATGCGAGCACAGGGCCAACAAGCACAAGGTGGAATGCCCGAGCCCGCTGCTGCAGAGCCAAAGGAGAAGCGGCAACAAGATCGGGTGTCGCGGGTACAAAAGTTTGCGAAATGGCTGGTCGACAGCAACGTGGAGATTGCATCTATGGTGGATGCTACTCAGGAGATAATATCATTTTATGAATGCTATGAACATTATAACGACAAGCTCACTCGCGAACAGATCAACAGGTTTGTTAAGGCAAGAGGCTTAGATAAGTGATCGAGTTATGAGAAATGAGAAATGAAGCATGGTATACGCGGGTTAAGCATTGAGGAGCATTGGCTGGGAGTTCCGGCGTTACTGTTTATTGTCATTAGACATTCACACATTTTGGTATTGTATGAAGCTTCCAGGCCTACTGGCTGTCTGTATAGGTAGTACCAGAACTTTAACTTTACCTTTCTATCGTATGGATCTGAGAGTTTAACGACATAGAAGATTCCGTGCACGAAATCAAATAAAGTGAGACCCTCCGTAGGCTTTCATTGAACTGTGAACATCAAGTATTCTATCATAGTTAGGTATTCTACGTAACATCTCAGATATGCATGTGCGTATCCCAATGATCTGTCGGACCGTATGTCCGGAACTGTCTTTGAGAGCCACCCAATTATGAGATAAGAAACTTGTGAACTTCCCGTCAGATGAGATTTTTTTTTTCTATAGGGCACTCAGTTGTTAGACTGATCCATTAATCCACCGGCTGAACATGTCTTTCACTTGGCTAGTCCATAGATCATGTGAATATTTGCAACGTGAAAATAATTCCTTCGAGATGAGTTTATGCCGAGACAGAGCGAGGATGTTGGCAGCTAAAGGTAGCAAAAGAATAGCTTAGCGGGTCCTTCCGGGACACTAAGCATAATACAGTGCCTCTGATTGATCGCCAGGCTTCAAAGCAGTGCCCAACAGCGGGCGGAGCGGCTGTTGATAGCCACCCCGGGCCATGACGGACGGGGCTAAGCTCCACTGCAGCATTTGGTATTTACGTAGTACAGGCACTGGATTTTTGGGCACGCCCAGCCCAGAGCAGCACAACGTTAACCCGGTTTGGGGGGGTTTCATTCAGCTACCAACGTCACAGCTCGTCAATTGGTATTGGCACTTCAACACCATCTTTTCCTTTCCGACCCGAATCCTTCCTACGACAGCTTAGCCATGAACTTCCGGTAACCCGACAATACCTCCCTCGAAGTCGCCGTACCTCGATTTTATCTGCACAGCGACGCTCTCCTGCAGCGCAGGGCTTTTTGCGCCTGTTGCGCCCGACGTACCTGAAATCTCGCCGGAACGAGAGATGCCACCATTGCATTTACAACTGTCGTCATGAGCGTGACAAACATTGCGGAGGAAATTGAAGAGGGGCTTAGGGAGCCCCAGAACTCCCGCGATGCTCGTGTTGAGAAGCTCTGGGCGAGCCTCGAGCCTGATCACACAGGAGAACTTGACCTAAAGGGTCTGCGGAAGGGGCTTCGAAGGATTGACCATCGTAAGCGAGAGCCCGCGCTGGCTCAAGCTTGGTAGAGATACTGATGAGCAATTACAGCCATGAAGAATGCCGACGATATGCTGAAACGTATAATGGAAGAGGTGGATCAGAACGGCGATGGCAAGATACAATACAACGGTACGCAAATCTGCCTTTGACTCTGGAGCTCCAACTCTCCCAGATATTGCCTCGGTACCTGCGGCCACGATGTTGAAAGCTTACTTTTGGCTGTTCGCACCCTTTAGAGTTCCGAAAATTTGTCGAAAATGCAGAGCGCCAGCTTTTTGCCCTATTTCGATCAATTGATAAAGATGGGAATGGGAAATTGGACAAACTTGAGCTCCAAACAGCTTTTAAGAACGCCGGACTCACACTATCGACCCGCCGCCTTACCGAGTTCTTCGATGATATGGACCTCAACAATGACGGTTATGTCACATTTGACGAATGGCGGTCAGTACTTAAATTTCAATTCTATCTGGGTGCTCCTTTTGTTGCATTTTTCTGTTGAGAACTCCACTGGCTGTCAGTCGCATCACATCAGATGCTCAGAGCTCATGACTGACTCTCAGTCATTTTGGCGGGGATAACCCTCATAACGTCATGTGCCAAGCCCAATCGCTGCCATCGGCGATACATCTGCGACCGGTTTCTCGAAGTCAAGATGTTGCTTCAGGCGCCTCCTTGTCAATCATGGACTTTGCAGCTGATCATGAACTCTCAGAAACTTCCTACTATTTATGCCGCCCCACGACCACGACTCCCAACTTCATGCCGTACTTGACTTTTACTACTCGGTGGTTAGCGTGACTCCAGAAGGAGACACACTTGTGAGCGAGGAAACATTAGAGGGTCTAGGTACGGACGGCTTCCGCTCTCTTTTCATCACCCTTTTCGGCTCTCTTCTACGAGTCGCTTTCCCCTACGATTTCCCAAGACCTGTACCTTCTCCCGGCCGGACATCGACTTCCGTCAGTCAACCCAACACCTCAAATCCGGATGAGTCCCCGAACCAGACCGAGAACATGGCTACCGCGGCCGCAGTCTCATATCCCGACTACGATGATGCAGCTACCGAGATATCGCAGGAAATCGCCGAAACGCTTACACAACACGTCGACGATGGCACCCATGGACCTGGACATGAACACACCACTGGAGCTTCAACAGCAGTGCACAAGAAGTTTAGACTAACACAATTTGTACCCGATCCAGGCTACTTTCTAGCAGGTGCCATCGCCGGTGGAGTGTCGCGTACGGCTACTGCGCCTCTCGATCGGCTGAAGGTCTATCTGCTTGTGAACACGTCCAGTCGTACCGAGACCGCGGGTGTAGCACTTCGACAAGGCCGTCCCCTCGCTGCTCTGAAAAATGCAGCCAAACCGTTCGGCGATGCTTTTCGAGATCTTGTTCGGTCAGGGGGTGTTCGAAGTCTTTTTGCTGGTAAGTCTGCATCATGAGGAAGTAGGGCTCATTTTGGCCCTTGATGTGACAGAAAATGCTAACAAGACTAGGAAACGGCCTCAATGTCATCAAAATCATGCCTGAGACGGCCATTAAATTTGGCTCGTATGAAGCGGCAAAACGCGCGCTTGCCAACTTCGAGGGCCATGGTGATCCCAAGCATCTAAGTTCATGGTCAAAATTCGCCTCAGGTGGCTTTGCTGGCATGATAGCACAGTAAGTCCGATAAAAATCTTGACAAAGGTTAGAAACTGATAATTGGCAGGGCTTCGGTTTACCCTCTCGATACCCTCAAGTTCCGCCTACAATGTGAGACTGTCAAGGACGGTCTTCAAGGTGCGGCCTTGGTTCGCCAGACCGCTGTGAAGATGTATGCAGATGGTGGTGTGCGTGCCTGCTATCGAGGGTTGACCATGGGACTTGTGGGAATGTTCCCCTATAGTGCTATTGACATGGGCACCTTTGAATTACTCAAAAAGTCTTACAAGTCGTACTATGCTCGGAAGAACAACGTCCATGAAGACGATGTCAAACCCGGAAACATCGCCACGGGGATCATCGGCGCCACATCTGGAGCCTTTGGAGCCAGCGTTGTCTACCCCCTGAACGTGGTACGAACACGACTTCAAACCCAGGGCACAGCCATGCATCCTGCAACATACACTGGTATCTGGGACGTCACGAAGAAAACGATTCAACGAGAAGGATATCGGGGCTTGTATAAGGGCCTCACACCCAACCTTCTGAAGGTTGCTCCCGCCTTGAGTATCACTTGGGTGGTGTACGAGAATTCAAAGAGAATTCTTGGATTGAGCTAGAAGTCTTCACTAGCTGTGAGATAAAAGGGCTAAACACAAGAAACTGAAGGGATCATCCTCTGTTTCACAATTAACATTTACTATACACACGGACGCACGCAAATTTCACATCAATGTTCTGGAAAGCGAGGATCTAGCGATTGGATGGCATTGCGTTACGATGGGGGAATATTCTGGCGTTGAAGGGATTGATATATCAGAAGAAAGTGGCCAGCAGCCATTGTCAGAAGACGAGGCGATGATACGGCTGGCACTGCATATTTCTCATTTTTGGAGGTGCTGGGAGTCAGTGGTTAGAACTGGGTGGACATTTCCTTGTTCAAGATAGAAGTGGTTACAAGAAGGTGAGGTCTCGTCATGAATCCATCAGTAGTTCCCTTGACTAGGTTTGAAACGATAATGAAAGTTACTCTGACTCGCCATCTATGAAATTGTGGAATTGCGAAAGACGGCGGGCTAGCTGCGAGAGGTCATGGAGAGCATCCGGGATCGAGCATGCCCATTTCGGACAAGGAACCGGAGCCGGAGATGTGGGGCCGGCTCCGGCGGAATGGTTCATACAGGAGGGGCCGTCCTGGGTAACTCGAGGATTCGTTGGACTGCAATACCAGCCATAAGAAGGTAATAATTATGAAGGCATGGCGGAAGCTTGTAGGGTGAAGCTCATTGCTGGAGTGAATGTGTCCTGGACTTAGACATGAAAAGAGGCCCAGAGGGAGCTGCTCATGAAGCTCATCATGGCTTTGGCAGCTTACAAAAGAAGCTTATTACCGCACTGCAGATCCGAGCTCGGCTTGGACAGCTTGGCTAAGAAGTACTCGTTATCAATCAGCCCTATCATGTATGCTTGGTGCTTATTATCGATCAGCAAACGTCATTTCGCGATTTTGACTCGTTATTTTATCTTCCACAGTCACAGGTTGTCGTCAGCCGCATGTCAAGAACTCGCGGCCTTTGCTGCAGGGCTTACGCAGCATTGCGACTATGACTTGAGCTTGCACAGGAATGGCAGTTGGCAAGGGTTGAAAGAGGACTGCGGGGTTGTGAAGGTTGGGGGAACTTTTGTAAAGTGATAAGTTAGAGGAGGATCCTTGCTCTGGTGGGAGATGGAAGATAAGACGAGGGAACGAAAGAGTTTTCAAGAGAAGGTGAATCATAGGAAGAAGAAGCAAATACAAAGAAAAGAAGCACCAGAGGTAGAGATAGTATCGTTCATAACATTGAAAATACCGTATAGCCAAGTAAGGAAGCATGGCGCATACCATCCACAGCTTATAAGTTGGAAAATATGATAAATGGATAGCTTGGTCGGACTTTTTGCAGTATTACGCCGCTTCATATGCACGTTCAACGCTCGCCCCCCAAAAGAGCAATAGCGTGATCGGCCAACGTCGTTACATACATGATCAGAAGCATCGCAACCAAGCAACGTAACCGAGCAGGAATAT